GAATAGGCTCGATGAGCCGATCTGCTGGCTCGTCTAAAAAATGGCGAGACAGGTTGGTAGTTTTATAAACCCTCAATCAGAAGAATTAATAATTTTTAGCGAAATTTTTTTTCTTTTAATTTGTGAACCGATTTATAAAACCAATAATAATCTTTCCCTCGTACATAATATTAATATATTAAACCAATGTGTTAATCGTAAAAAAAATAAACTTTAATATGTAAATTTTCAATAACTCATTCCTACATTTCATCATTTAAGAAAGTACTAAAGGTAAACATTCATAATTACATGTAGATAAAATATTAGTTACAGTCCTTCAAAATATTAGGGGTAACATTGGGATAATTTCCTATAGAGCAGCAAACTACACATAAGAGTGACTACTACCCAGTACCGTATAGGTCTATGTACTACAAAAGACTGCCTATAAAAGTTTGGATATGTTTATCCCAATACATATTGTCATCATTGTGGCTCTCAGCTAATGAGTATGAGTGTCATATTCATCGGGTGTGGAATCTGTGCCACTTCCCCTCTCTTTAAACAATGACCGATCAGGTCCCACGAGTACCGCAAGTACAGAGGAAATAAAGAAAACAGAAAGACAAGAGGGTGAGCAACAGTTCATACATCATCTTAAAATCAAACATCATAAACATTCACATGTCAATCAAATTCCAAATAATTGATGTTAATGATGCATGGTTCTAATATGTTTTCTAAAATGTTTAGGTATGCGGGTCCGAATCATTTCTCAAATCAGTACTGGGGTAGCCAGGAGTTGACACTACTAGGCATGGAAAATCCACCCACGGGATTATTGAGACCCATGCTCAAATATAAACCCAGTAGCTCACTGATCATTGATATACAGTAAGAGCACAATCAGGTACATGAGAGTTTGTACAATGGGATCCCTGACAACAGGTAGCGAGTCTGGGTCTTTTAGGGCCTCTAACCACTACCCTTCCTATCCTTAAGTCCTCCCTCAGGGCCTTCCTATCGTATTCTCAGAGTCCATAATCTCTTATTCCCCATATTTCACAAATCACCATTTTCAGATGAGTAATGTATGAGTTCTTAAGTGGTTTTTCTTAGAAAGTCACATTTTTCCAAAAATTTTGACAAAGTTTCCCCTGTAATACGGACTTCCCAAAAATTTCCAATCACCTGTTACAAGCAGAAAACTTCCAATACAGTTCAAAAAGGGTTCACAATCCATCATCCAATTCTTTCAATTTAATTTTCAATGAACTTTCTCATGAAAAACCACCATGCATATAAATGCTCACTAAAAAACAATACATATCATAATAGAGTACCAAACATGTATTTTACACCATCATACACGTAAGCAATTCATTATCATTTTCACAATCAAGCATATAATGAAATCAAAATTATCAATCATAACAAATTTAGACAACTTCAACAAATAAGGTCAAACAAGTTTATGATGTAATCCTTACTATATAACTCACCCCTTACCTAATATGTCCAAACTTATTCCTTTCAAAGCTTGATATTGTGTTTCAGCAAAATCTATATACGTAATAAAATACTAGTTATAATTGTATATTTCTATGTTTCTATCTCATGAGAATTTAAATTCATATTGTGTTGCTAATCCATTTCTAATAATATTTTAAGCTCACATTCAACTTACAATTAACTTAGAAAATTATCCTATTTTGTATGCACTTAGAGTAGGAAGAATCTTATAGCAAACATGGACAAGGTTCAGTATTTAGAGTTATATAAGTTATTTTGGCATGAGGTCTAAGCCAAAATTTCAATAACTTAATTTTCTACAATATTGATGAAGGAAATAAATTCAAATACCCTATAGAATAGATGCAGTTTTCAGTTTACAGTGGTTGTTTCCAACAAGGCTCAACTACAATAACACTCTGAACATGTTGGTAATTTGACTATAACTCATGCTACACATAAGATATTAACATGAAACAAATTTCTAAATTTCGGAAATATAATTTCCTACAATTTTTATGAAGGAATCAAATCCTAATATCGCACGTATCAATCCCAGTAATTAAAAAACCGAGGCAGTTGAAACAAGGCAACCTCTTAACGTCACAACTAGAACACTTGACAGTAAAATGGGTATAACTTGAGTTACAAATATTTGTTTGATGTGAAACCAGTTTCTAAATTTTGACAACTTAAAAAGCTACAACTTTCATGAAAGAATCAAGTCCTAATTATGTTGACACAAGTCTTAGAAATTTGGTGAACAGTACCTATGAATTAAGGTTCTTAATGTATTTAGCTCAACCACTTTTAATCCTCAACTCTAAGAATTATTCTAGTGTCCTAGGTGTAATACCTACAATAACACTCTTCCCACTCCCATTCAAACTCAGCCAAGTGAGGAGAAAATTGAAAATGCACCGTTTTGAAAAATAAAACCGTAGAAGTGTAAAGGAGATTGAGAGAAACAAACTTACCTCTTGGAGCTCCTCAAGAAAATCAAGATTTCCCCTTAACATCAAGCTTGAAGGTAAGTAAAGTTTTGAGAGAAAGAAGGAAACCTACGGTCGCAGAGAGAATGGATTTCTCAAGTCAAATTTTTAATTCCTATTACACCTAAAATTTATGCATTATTTTTTCCTTTTTACTCTATTACCCACAACTCCTAAGACTCAAGCATTACTCCAAACTATATCAGTCATCATATGTTTATTGTCAACTCACACATAGTAAAGTTTTAATGTACCTACACTCAATGCATATAAGAAAACAATAATTTCTAAATGTGGCAATTAAAATTTGTTAAGTCCCTAAGCTCAACTCACACACATAGTAAAGTTTTAAATGTACCCACACTCAATGCATATAAGAAAATAATAATTTCTAAATGTGGCAATTAAAATTTGTTAAGTCCCTAAGCATGCTCAACAACACACACATGAGTATTTTCTAACAATTATAAAATAATAGAAAAATTATAATTGTTCTAATGCACATACAAGAATTGAACTCATGACCCTCCAATCTTATGACAAGGGTCTAACCAAATGATCCACTCCTCATCTTTACAATATAATTAAATTCTTAATTTAATTACTTCTCTTACTTCCAATTTCTACCTTAAAACATATAAATACTATATGGCGCCCAGCTGCCCGCAAAATGAGTCAATTTTGAGTATTTTCTAAAAATTCCAGAAAATCATAAATAATCTAATAAACATAAAACTCTACAGTCACTTTATCTAATTCCTACTAATTTAATTATTAAAATTTTGACAAAGATTTTGTCAAAATTTAACAAAACAGAGATACTGAAAAATTAGGATGTTACATCGAGTCATTTTTAAAAAATACTTATATTTTTAAATAAAAATAATAATAATTATGTCATTAAAATATTTAAATATATTATAATATTATAATTTAAATTATAAAAATTAATTAATTAAATTTAAATTATTAATTATAATTAATTATTTTAACACATAAATATAATAACTTTTTACAATTTATCTAATAAAAATACTAAATAATAAATAAAAACTTAAAAAATATTCATATAATTAAAATTATATTTTAAAAAAAGACATATAAAAAAATGATTAACAAACCGCTAGTATGTGAGTTCTCCTTTTAATGAGATATACTAAGATACGTAACTCATATGGACTATAGTAAGTTCATCATATATCGCTTTTGACAAGCTATAAATAAAACGGAGCAAAATAGACTCATTTTATCATTTACATACAATTCAATTTAATTAATTAAAAAAAATCAGGGTTTTCTTAATTTAATTCACTTTTTATTAATATAATAAAAGATTAAATTAATAAAGAAAATCTTAATTGTTTCATGTTTGTCTCACAAGTTGTTTTATGATATAAATTTGATTTAAAATAATCATGTTGTAAGTTGTCTAATGAGTACATCTTCGCTTTAGGAGTTAGGGCTATTTCTTAGCAAACAATAAAGCAAGGTCTATGATGGAATCACCATTTATAACACTGAACTTGTAAGTCAAAAAGTAGAGTAATTGCGAAACCTAATTACTAATTTACCATTGTCAAGGAGACATACAACTCTTATATCTCTCAATTTCGATTCAAAATTATAACTGGTGTGACTAATATTAATCATAGAATGATAAGATAAAATGCATATGTTTGAAATATAATTTTGTTTGAAGTATATTCAGACAGTTAAATTTTTAGTTTCAAATTTATTTTTGCAAAATTTAATTTAAATGAACGTTATTCTCTCTCTTTATTTATTTCGTCATATTATTGTTTACATGCTGAACTGAAGAGAAGAAATCTAGATAAAATGAAAATATACTTAAATAGAAAAAGAAACTGAAATAAGATGAGGTCATTAAAATTTTGATAGAAGTGATAATAAGTGGGACATGTTATTAGTGCGTTAATTATAAAATAAGGTATATATTATTAATATGATTTTTATTTTTAATTTATTTTTATAAATTTGTAATATTAACAAGATAAGGAGCTACATATTCATTTATATGAAGAATAAATTTTGTTAGATAAGTGAAAAAAATTTCAAATTTTATATTTTTATCATTAGAAATAATTATATAAAAGAAACTAAAAAGCATGTTTAATATCAATTATTGATAAAAATAGTTTTCTTGTCATCAATAAACATAAATAAACTTCTATCTTTATAAAATATTTTAACCAAAATATCTTTTTTAACTATAAACAAAATGACACTTCTTCTCTGACCAAGAAGGAAAAGAAAATTATATTTTATTTATTTTTTTAATATTTATTTAACTTGAAGTTAAAGAAGACGACGTGGCATCTTACTATCGAACCGCTTACAATTTATGTCTTTTTCCGTTCCACGCTTCAAAACCCAAGAGTCAGAGAGAGTGAACCACACTTTGGAGTAGAGAGAGAAAACAAGAACCTCACCACCAGAGAAAGAGAGAGAGAAAAGAGAGTCGTTAATTTCAGTTTAAAAGAGAGAGAAAAAAAAATGGTGACAGAGGAACAAATATCGGAAGCGGTGTCGTCTCTGCTGAGCGAATCGATTCCAAGCCGGCGAAGCTTCACGACGCTGGACCAGGTGGTGGAGGAGCTTCAGGCCAAGCTCGGCCACGACCTCTCTCACAAGCTCGATTTCATCACGTCGCAGATCAGCCTCCTCGTTGGATCCCAACCACAACCACCACAACCTCCGCCACAAAACGCGCAGAGGCAGTTACAGCAGCCGAAAGACCGATTTGCCCCTCCGCCAAACCCTAATTTTCACTCTGTCCCTGTCAGTTCCGGCTTCCAGGCTCCCAAATTCCCTTCTTCTAACGCTGTCGTAGCCACTGCTACTGATACTTCGCGCGTCGAAGCTCCTCCTGTTCCTGCAACTACTACTGCTCCTGCTCCTGCTCCTGCTGCGGCTGCTGTTAAGGAGGTTCCGAAGGAAAGGTTAGGTTTCACTGAGATTAATTTTGTTTAGCTTGTTTGAAAACGTTTGCAAGAGTGAGAACTGATAAGTGAGGGAAAATTAGGGTTAGTGGAAAAGGAATTGGAGTAATTACAGCTACTTCAACGGTGAACAGCAGGATTTTACTTGTAATCTACTCCTATATTATACATTATTAGAATATTACGGTTTAGTTTGCAACTCGGGAGTGATGTTCTTACGCTTTCATTTTCTTATACTAGGAAAAAAATTAGACGCAAAAAGAAAAAAATTACAAAAATTTAGTTATGTGTAAACTAATTTGTAACAACCTTTTCATGTCGGTTAATTTGTATTTCATGCTTGACTTAATTTTAGCTCTTATATATTGTATTTTTGTTTTTAAATACTTATGAAAAAAAAAACAATTAACTTAATGGATTTTGGGTTAAAGTTGCTAGAAATATTTTTTGTAAATATTAATATAAAATTGGACATACCAATGCATCAGTTGAGAAGGAAAGGTTTGTTAGTTTTGGAAGAAAGATACTTTTGTGCTCCTAACTTAAATCTGATCATGCACTTTATATGTTCTTTGTATATTTTTTAATACTATGTCTTCATTCTCTGCAAGATTGGATTTCATACACGGTTTTTCCCTGATAAGTAAAAATATTTCTCTGTCAACCATTGTATCTATTTTTGTTTTATTCTTATGGCATGTTTAATCTTTATTAACCGGCCGTTTCTGTTGGTCTATTTATTTTCTTTTATCTCTATCTACTAATTGAATTTCAATATTTTTAGATAAATTATTAATATTTAATAGTATTATATTTTTTAATTTAAATTGTTGATTGTAAGTCTAATATATAACATTTAAAACTATTTTTTTATGATGAATTTTTGTATTATAAGAATAAATGTTTAACTTATGCAATTGACGGACTTAAATGCTAATTGTTTTGAAAACTGAGAATTTATGACTTGAGAAAATATTTTTGTTTGGTTTATTTTCAATGATAATTAGTGAGAGGTTCACTTGTTTGTGAAAATATTATTTTTGTTGTTTTTTTTATGTTTTTAGCTTGAAAACAGTGAAAATAAAGTGACATTTCTGAGACTGTTTGTTAAAAAATAGAAATGAAAAGAGGGAAACTACGCCTTTGGCTGAAGATTAAGCTTTAACAACAAATGCTATGTCAGCAACATAGTTGTTACTCTAGATCACTGTATGGTAAGTAAGGGGCTATGAGTTTATACGTTTTTCAATTTCAAACCTTTTTGTTTTGTTTTTTGTAAACGGAATATTATATATTACATTTTTTTTTTGTGATTGGGACTGGATTTTATGTTTGGTAATTTTAACTAATAATAAGTAACGTTGTTGTTCTTGTGTCTTGCAGTACTCAAACTAAGGTGAAGAGAAGAGGTGGCCCGGGAGGTCTCACCAAACTTTGTGGTGTATCGCCTGAACTTCAGGTCATTGTTGGCCAGCCAGCACTGTCGAGGACTGAGGTAATATTAATATATTTTTTGAAGTTTGTTGTTTGCTTTATGCATAATGATATGTTTCAGCAATATTTCTAAAATGTGAAATAACTGTGGTTTAGATTGTCAAGCAACTGTGGGCTTACATAAGGAAAAACAATCTTCAAGATCCTAGCAACAAAAGGAAAATAATTTGCAACGATGAGCTGCGTGTGGTTTTTGAGACTGATTGTACTGATATGTTCAAGATGAACAAATTGCTAGCTAAACACATTATCCCCCTTGAACCAACCAGTAGGTATCTAGGTTATGGTTGTTTTTATGAAATTGTGGTTTAATGTGTTGTTTAAATTCTTCACGTTTGTGCACTTTCAGAAAAACCTGTTCCAAAGAAGCAGAAGGTAGATCTGGACTCAGGAAAAAGAAGTGCTGAACCTACACCCTCTGTAATAATATCTGATGCACTTGCTAATTTTTTTGGCATTACTGGAAGGGAGATGCTACAGTCTGAGGTTCTGAGACGTATCTGGGAATACATAAAAGTCAACCAGCTAGAGGTAAACAAACTTCATGCACAGTAACATTGATGCATTAAAGTTTGATATGAGGATGATGATGATGATAATTATTTATTATTGATCATTTTGGTGACTAATATTGAACTTTGGAACATTAAACTCTCTTAAAAGTTCCTTGTTTTTCTTCTTTCAGTTCTAAACCAATTCAACATCTTTGTCTTTTAACTATATGGATTTTTCTTTCCCTGTTAATTTTTATTATTATTTTACATTTTTTATTTGAATACTAGTATTTTGTTATGTCTTATGTTGTGATTATTTTTTGTTTTACTGAGCATGGTCGATCTAGTATCTAACCTTGAAACTGTAGTCTTTGTATTTAACTAATTTGTTTCTACTGATCTAATGTTCGGTGCATTAGTAAGTTTGTGTCTTTATTAATATTGAGCACAAGCCCATAGGTCCTGCAGCTTGTATTCCAATGGACAATTGAAGGCAAATATGGTTCTTGCATGAAGAAGGCAAATTGCTTTTCGCACAATTAGTTTGGAAAAAAAATTAAATGATATGATCTTCTGAAGAACAAATTATGTATGATTAGCTTTGTTGGCACATAACTTGTTGACTTACAGTCCTTTAATATATTCATAGGATCCTATGAATCCGATGGCAATACTTTGTGATGTGAAGCTTCAGGAGATCTTTGGCTGTGAAAGCATTTCAGCATTGGGGATACCTGAAGTTCTGGGCCGTCATCATATTTTTAGGAGTTCATGATGCTGACAGCATTCTATGGTTAGTAGAATTGACTTGCAGAGCAGTTTTGTGGTATTGCTCTTCTTTTTCCTAAACTCTTTCAAGTTTCTCTAGACTTTATGTCAACTTCTATTGTATTTGACTGTCTAGTCTAATATAATCCATGATGTCTCAACATATCTGCCTTGCATGGTGTTGAATTATCTTTTATGATTGGTTTTTATTCCATGATAATACTACCTCTTGGAACCGAACTGGTTTTTACTTGTATTTAGCATTGTATAAGCTGATATTATTCTTTTAAGTATGATAATGGGGGAATTAAACTGAAAATTATTACGATCATAGTGAAGCATGTCTTATAATCTCTTAATTTTATTGGTTTCCTTTGCATCACAAGAGAGGAGGGAAAATCTTTAAATATTAGTTATTAAAATGCTTTTACTTTAAAAAGTAAACGCTGAATGACTATTGACAACATAATGTATTTTTTTCATCAACTTTTTCCTTAATTGAGACATTGGTTAGCACTTGCCTCCTTATGAATATTTTGATCTTGTTAATCTGAGACTATCAGGAAATGAGGTTACGGATTGACTCTGGCTAAACAAAGTAAAGCGATTCCCAAAAATTTCATGACTCTGCCAAACTTTCATACAAACTTATGCATGCAATGCAACTTTCAGAAAACAATGACTTTGCCTAGTTAGGATTTGAAAGATTTGTTTTCAGTTTGATGGATTTCTTCTTGCTTCTCCAAATGGATTTATGCATAGAACTTGATAAAATATTTGCTTTTGGTTGCAGTGACAGATTGCAGGGTGTTAATTCCAGTATAGTTGGAGCTGATCTTGACCACATGTTGATATGGTTCTGTAATTTGACTGATCAGATTTGTGTTCTAAGTTGATGTTGATAAGTTATTAGCAGAATGAAGATGTAATAGGGACAACTAATAGTTTGGGAGTGGTGATATGTTTCTTAGGTCCTCGTTTATCTAACTTTGGCAGATAGGTTAGAATGACCTGTGGGTGGGATTCTGACACCTGTAAAATGCTCTGACAATAGGAAAGAAAATGATGTAAAAGGTTTCTTCCTTCAAACATGACTCATGCCATTTATGTGTAGTTAATGAGATGCAGCTTCCCAAATGTACATGTATGATTTTGGAGAAAACTTAGATAACCGTGCTTATGATAATGTTCTCAACAGATAAACATGTGTATTTTTTACATCTTAAATGAGAGAACTTCAAAAAGGAGAACCAAGTGCTTTAAAATTAATACATTACATGCTTTATGCTTGCCTTTTTACTTGAGAAAGAATGACATTACTACCAGCAGACAACAAACTTCATCTATGCATTAGATTTCTAATCAACGAGAAGACCCTAAATTGATTGCACTTTATTTTAGGATTTTCTAATAGTTTGGACCAACTAGATAATCAAGTTGGTTGAGTTTATGTTGTGTATTTTGGTCTAAATCTAGCCAAATGTCATTGAAACAATTCACTTGATTTTCTTTTTTGCCTTTTACTTTTTTCGGCTTACATGCAAGACTTGTCTTTATTTCATTTGTTTTTACTTGTTCATACAGTATGATGTCATTTTAGTTAGTTTAGTTAAAAGGAATGGTTGTTTGAGTTAATTAGTTTGATTTAAATTTGAATCAAATTGAAGCATTGATTTTGATTTATTTGCTTTTCCTTTCTCTTAAATTTGAACTAATTGACCTATTAGCATCTTTATTTTTTGTTTAAAACAGGAAAATATGACTTATATTACGCAAATCTTCGAATAGAAAAGATACAAGGAAGTCCCAATCAAATGATGATATTTATAAGAGGTTTAAGAATAAAAATAAATATTTTATTATAGATTTTATATCTAAATTGTTTAAAAATGAAAAAAATTTCTTAAAATTAGAAAAAAATTATTTAAATAATAAATTTGATTAAATTTTAAATAATTAAATTATAAGATTGATATTAAAATATTTAATTTTATTTTTAAACAATTTTTATTAAAAATTCCTTTAAAGATATTCTTTTTGAGAATTTTAGGATCGTAGGGCCAGCATAAACTAAAATCAGATATGTTTTTGTTTTATTTTATTCTTTGGTAAACAGCGTAAATCAGATATGAAATGCAGAAACTAACTTCTGTTCCATTCTATTTTATTGTTGGTGTTTTATGATGGGTATTAGGTGGAACCAACGTTTTGGGCTTTACTTTGTTTTCTAAACCTGAATTGCTGTATCTGAACATGATTAATTTACTTATCACTTTTATAATAAGACAATAATAATAAAATAAAATTTGACATCTTCTTTTTCCCAAATAGTTCTTCAACAACTCCATTTAATAATATAATATTATTTTTAAATTGTTTTTAATTTGATTAAAAGAGAACTAAGAGCAGAAGTAGTATAATCAAAGTAAGTTTGAAATTTTATGAAATAAGTTAAAATAAATTATAAATAAAAAAATTTATTATTTAAATTTTATTATCATAAAATTATTATCTTTCTATAATTTCTTTTTCTATGTTTTCTCTCTAAATTTTTCATTTCTTCTCTCATTTTTTTCTATATCTTAGTACTATTTGAGGAATAAGTTTCTCTTTTCCAAATTTAAACCATTTTTACATATTTTGAGTTTAGGTATGCAAGGGTCTCTGTGGGCTTGCATGCAAATTTTGTTGTGAAAAAATAAATTCTGACTAGTTTAGAAACATCATGGTATGCTCAATTTGTTAATTTGAAATTTTGTTGTGAGCAAGATCTATTTTCTTGAAAATTCAGAAGTTTTTATAGTTCTTTAATTTGAAGGTACTGTATTTGGGGTAAGAGAATTTAGTTATTCGTAATTTTTCATAGTAATTTATGCTAGAAGATATGGACTACGAAGGTGATTAGTCACATTGATTAAGTGTCAAAAAATTAAATTGTGTATGTGTCGATTTATGATGATTGTATTGAATGTGAATATATAATTGATTTTTATGAGATTGACAATGATAGATAGTCTTTTATATGAAAGTATTGTTCTAAGATTGAATTTAGTGAATTAATTTACAATTTGAAAGGTAGTGTATAGATTTAAATTGATTTAGAACATTAGAAACATGAGTATTAAGTAGATTATGCACTGTTACTATTACGAATCCACTTAGTGGATTTAAGGCTTTGTTGAAAGCGCTTAAATTACATTTGATACTTTCATATTTGCCCAACAGATTTTGGGCAGTGTTGGGGTTCCATTCAGTCAAAATTTCACTCAACATGCCGATTTTGGATAGTATTGAATGTTTTTTTAGTTAAAATTTCGCTTAATGGATTTAAAGTTCACTATTTTCAAAAAAAATCATAAAAAATAGCTACAAATTCCAAATTAAATTTTCCATATATGTAGATCGAAGCCCAAAAAATAAGGAATCCAACAAAATAAAAATTAGTTAAAAAGAATATCTACACAAAAAATTATGGTAAAAAGAGTGGGTGTAGGTAAATAAAAAAATTATTATAATATGAGAAATGATAGGTATATGTTATAAGATGTTATAAACATGAAATGAGGTGTATTGGATATTATTATATATCTTGAAAAATATTGTGTTGTGATATGAGAATTATCAAGGGATATCCTCATATATGTAGTGTTGTATATATAGATATTAATCCAGAACTCAATGAGATATCTTGACTTTACTTATCAATAGAATCACACAGATGAAAGGATAAGATGATGAGAGTTGAAGGAGATTTCTAATGATTTAGCCTACGATGTAAAAAAGAACTGTGTTTTGATAAGTCATTTAAAAATTTACTCTGGTTACACGTGAGTGTATATACCAAATTGAACACTCTTATATTATGCACTTAGTGGAGTTGTGGTATGAAAGTTGAATTTTATTATTTTATTTTATATTTAAATTTTTCATACTTAAATTGAATTACTAACTTACACTTCTTATGCTTTGTATATTGTTTTGAACTGTTATGATCTTATATTTATATAGGAATAGATTTTACAGGTGATAAATGTCAACAAAGTAATTTTAAAACTAAGAATAATATATATTTATATTTTGTTTATTTTTAAGATAATAAATATGCATGTATATATTTCTTTATGTAGAAGAAATTTATATTTTAAACTACTATATGTATTTTAATTATATATCTATGTATAATTTTTAGGTTGTTACTATTATAATAATAATAATAAATTAAATTGTTTAATGGATATTTATATTTTGATGGGCTAAAATAATAATCAACTAAACACCAAGACGTAGACAATAAGAGAAAAAACATCAATGTTATAATTCACTTTACTATTATAATAATTATAACAAATTTTATAAGAATAAAAATAATTTAAAATTATGATTATATCATTAGATAAGTCATAGGAAGTATGTTTCTTAACAGATCGGTGTCAATAAATTCTTTTCCCATGAAATATATATACCATCAAATCAAAATAATTTGATTAAAAATTAAAGCGGTCACAACAGACTGTCTAGCTTAGTTTAATCTGGAGACTAAGTAAAAAAAGTTTGATACAAACTATATTTTAAAATAGATCAAAAATTCTAATACAATCTTATTCTGAGTTAGATTAACGAATCAATTTCGATTTAATTCTTTTTTACTATATAATTCTTTCCCACCCTATTTTAGCAGATGAAATGTAAAAAATTAGTTACGGGAATTCCAATAAGAGTTATTTATGGTCATAGTTGTTTACGGTACTTATAAAAAATGGTTGGTGATAGTAATAATTTTGAAAAATTAAATATCATAATAAAAAAGTTGTTTTTTCTAATTTTTTTTTGTTCTTAAGATTCTCACCAATAAAATTTAATAAATAAAATAATGCAATAAATTAGAGAAAAATATTCACTGCAGATTCTATTCTATTAAAATAAGAAGTGATAACTGAATGGTAAATTATTTATAAGAATCTACCATTAAAATGAATTTATAAAAATTAAAAAAAAGTTAGTGTAACT